TATTTTGCTTGTTCGGTTGCTAATAGCCTATTGATTCACAGATCTCAGCCAGTGGCTTCTTTTGCTTCAGCAAGTCTGGCCAGCTCCAGTCCCTAAGGTATTACAGAACTTTTCTTCCAAATAATTATTTAAAATTTTGTATTTTCTGGTCAAATTAAATATATATTTATATAAAGTGTTGATTGGAAGCAGCCTAATCAAAACTGCTTATATTGTGGCATTTTTGGACAAAGATGGCCACCTTTGTTAAACCATTTAACCAGTTGTCCTTATTTACTCATTTACTTATTTGAAGGTTTGCGAGGAAATTGCTGTCTCTCCAGGAAAAATGTTATTATGTGAACTGTACCTCACCATTAAAATGGTTCTTCCCTGGCCTTTAAAAACAATTGATTTGTTCAAGCACTGTTTAAATGCAATCGAAATACAACAAAGCACTTGAGTTCTGTGTGCAATCAATTACTGCCTTTTGTTGTTTTTTTTCTAGAGAACAAGCCATTTTTTCCTCTTTGTGTACCTCACTATTTCAAGGACAACATTACCAACACAAACCAGTAACATTGATTTTTACTGTGTGATTTATGAAGGTGGAGGTCCAACGCATGGGACCAGCTTTGAAGATCCTCTTCAGACACTCCAACCCCCTCTGTGTGACAGTACTGGCTCCGTGCAGAACTGTTAAGGCTGTAGGGCTCCATACACCACAATGTGTCTGTCTGTTGTAATGTACAGTTTAGCAGACTGGTTAGGAAGTCTGGATTCCGCCTTTTTTCCTTTTTCTGTTGTAGCCACCTGGCTGCTAATCCCTAGGGTGCTCTTGGATAGAACAACATTTTAAATTGCTCTTAAACTAAAATAAATGAATGTTAATTAGTTGTCAAACTTACTTGTTGAAGTGATACTGTTGGTTATTTCTTCTGTGCATTAAAAAGTTTACAAATCACCTGTGAAAAGAGTATTTCTGTAATCGTTTATCCAGTTTACTTGAAAATCAAAAGATACATACAGTAGATGGGATGTGCATGACAATGATTAAAATAAAACATTTTCCTTTTTGAGATAATAGCGTTACTTTTCTTGGAAGTGACTGTATACTTTGCAACCATCCCGTATAAATCACACTGATCAGCTATTGTTCATCATCTCTGATGCTGATCAGAGCAAATAACTTGTTATTTGTGTGAGTGATTTAATCTTAGCAAGTCAGTGTGAATCAGGATGCTATGAACAGTTACAACTTAATGAAAAAAATGAATTAAAATGTATTTTAGATTTTTTTTTTATGTTTGTAATTCATCAAAAGGTTATGCTGTGCATGGTAAGCAAGCAAAACATATTAATTCATCTATCCATTTTGTAACCCACTTAAGCACAGGGTTGCATGGGATCCAGCAAGCAAGCTACCCTTTTGGAAAATGGTAGACACACATTTGCAACTGGCCATTTTAAAGAAGCCAATAACCTATCAGTAAAGTTTTGGCCTGTGGGAAGAAACTGAAGAACCTAAAAAAACACACGCTAACACAGGGAGAACATACAAGTTCCACAAAGATTGCATTCCAGAAAATGAACACAGGAATGTAAAGCAGTACTTCCAACCACTGTGCTTCCCCAAAACATTCGGTTTCAGTTCATCTTAGGGGAAATTATTATAATAATAATTGCTTAAACTTACAATTAATAATTAAGAATTACTGCTTACACTTATAAAGCACTTTTCTGGACACTCCCCTCAAAGCACTTTACAGCTAATGGGGACTCCCCTCCACCACCTGGATGATGCAATGGCAGCCATAGTGTGCCAGAACGCTCACCACACATCAGCTATCAGTGGGGAGGAGAGCAGAGAAATGAAGCCAATTCATAGATGGGGATTATTAGGAGGTCCTGATTGGTAAAGGACCAATGAGAAATTTGGCCAGGACTCTGGGGTTACACCCTTACTCTTTTTGAGAAACACCCTGGGATTTTTAATGACCACGGAGAGTCAGGACCTCAATTTTGCGTCTCATCTGAAGGACAGCACCTGTTTACAGTGTAATGTGCCCGTCACTATACTGAGGCATTAGGAACCACATGGACCACAGGGTGAGTGCCCCCTGCTGACCCCACTAACATCTCTTCCAGCAGCAACTGTAGTTTTTCCCAGGAGGTCTCCCATCCAGCTACTGACCAGGCTCACACCTGCTTAGCTTCAGCAGGTTGCCAGCTGCTGGCCATATCACTCTGCATATCATTATGGTTAGACTGACATGTTGCCTTTTGCATTTTAAAGGCAGCATTAAACATCTGCTCTGTCTCCAACTGTCCTAGGGTAAGTTCTAAAGGTGAATTAAAGGTCCTAAAGGTAAATTCTAAGCTTGGCAAACAAAAAAAAACTAATGTTTTTCTTAAAAGGAAATAATGTAGAGAAAGCCAACTCAACCTTCATTTCAGCCTCACCACAGAGACTAGGAGTAAGACAGAAATAAAGAAAAAAAGGTATCATCTAAATCATCATCATCATCTAAATATATTTGTAAATCATTATCATCTAAATATAAGGATTACTTTTTTCATGCTTATATGCTTACATAGGTAAATGTAGATTTGACCCAGGTTTAAACCTTCATTAAGAACACATCTGTGTTCTCAAGATTATTCTTTGGAACAAACAACAGCACTGAGCAGAATGTAGTTTTAAGTTTTAAGTTTTTTCACTCTTGCAGTTTCAGTCTGAGCTTATCTGACTTGCCAAATCTCCAATTAACTCCTTCTTCCATTGTGAAACTTTAGTAATTAACAAATGAGTTCATTATACTTATATAATACCCAGCATAATGGAAATGAAAGAAAATCAAAGAATGACGACAACACTTCAAAATATGATAACCAAAAGCTCATGAAGCCCTCTGCTTAGCACAACCAGAAGCATTTCAGACACAGCCTCTAAATTCTGAGGTCATTCTGCTAACAAATAATGTTGATGACATTATCACTAACAGCCCCTAATTCAAGGGAATACTTAAGGAATAGCTATTTTACAAAATAAAAGTGAAGAGTATTCTGCTACATACAAGTTGTAGCTGGTACGGGGTACCAGAGGAGACAGCAGCAAGAAGAAATATAAGGTCTCTGGTGTGAGAAAGCATGTCATGGTGGAGCAGTGGTTAGCATTGCTAGGGTCCTGGGTTCAGTTCTGGACCTGGAGTGCTGTATCTTCTCATTATTTTCTTTTGGGTTTCTTCCCACAGTCCAAAGACATAATGGTAAGTTAATTGGCTTCTGGGAACCCTGGTGTGTGGGTGTGATTGTGACTGTATTTGTGTCTGTGTGAGCCCAGAGCTGGACTGGCGTCCTTTGTGCCCTTTGCTTTCCCTAACCCTGAATTGGATAATAGAGTTAGAAAATGGATAGATGTTGTGAGAAATACTTAATAGAAGAGACATGGCCAAGGATACTTCCCATATCAGATGTCAGAAATCTGATATCTTTAGAAGGCTAGGTTGAGGATGAGGCGGGGTAAATCCACTTAAACAGGCAACATATGCAAATCAAACACACTGGACTAGACACCTACAAATATCTGAATATCCTTGGAGAATTTTCCCAAAGTGATAAGGCTTCTCAATACAATGCATTAAAAGTGTAGTTGTGCCAGGAGTTTTCTGCACAGTCTGTTGTCTGAGTGACCTCCTCACATCTGTCTAGTGAACAGAAATTGGCTCTCTGGGTTGTTTACATTAAGACGCGATGCCTCTGAAAAATGACAATGCAGTATGCTTATTTTTTAAAAGATTATTTGCTAATTGGAAGTAAATTATAAACTTTTTCCATTCAAAACGTTTTAGTATGCAACTTTTAAGTTTTACTTATACTCTTTTATTTTACTGGTACTGTATATCAGTTGTCCAATAACTGGATTAACATAATGAAAATAAGCACCCAAAGATAACGTTTATTATGCATTATTAAGTAGAACCTTAATAACCTGTTGCCTATTTTTCAATTACTACAAGAAATTACCTCGAAATAATCACATACTACTCATTCGATAATTACGTTCTTTTTCTAAAAAAAAGATAGCTTTATATTTACTTTTTAAAATGCAAAGTGTAAAACGAATAAATAATAATATCCTTATCCACTTGAAGATAATAGAAATTCTGTTCATTTTAATTTAATTTGGATTCGGATCGTTAAAGTCAAACATAATTTTAGGTACGAAACATAAAATACTGTAAATAAAACACACAAAACAATAATACACAGCAATTTAAGATTTTAGCGGTATGGCTAAAACTAAAAGAATTCTAGATTTCTTTTTGACATTAACAGATGACATAATGTCTCATCTAAGTAAAATGAGCAATAAATGGCAGGTCTACCGAAATGTTAAAACTATTGCTATGCTTCGTTTTTGATACAAAGAATCAAAGAATCACTTTGAAATGTCCCCCGTACTTCCATTAAGAGGAACTGTCATTTTCATATTTGTTTAAATCGTCAACAGCGCAAACAAGTGCAACACACACTCAAGCCTTTTGTTATTTTTGTACTATGCAATATTGGAGTTCTAACTACTAATGTTAATCTTAAGGGCAATTACTCCTTCTACAGTAATCTATTCATTTACAGTATCTATCAGGCTGGTAATATCATCGCCATCATAGCTTTGGATTAATATTTCTTATTTTGAACTACAGTACTGTCATTAGAATCCTCAATAAAATGTATCACTGTATCTATCTACCTGTATGCTTTGATGAGTGTTGGTATACTGTTAACAGGTTTATGACATTAATGCTAAAGATACGGCGATAAAGGGGATTGCAGAATTTACTTTGAAATATGCGCCACGTTAGCTTTTTTTTGCCCCGTAAAGGTTTGGATAAATTATCTTGTGCGAAATGCGGTATATGAGACATTGTCGAAGTCGCAAACCTACTCCCTTTGTGACACTTACGGCCGACATGAGAGGATGCTAAATCGTCAAGCCGCTCAAAAGAGCTGTCAACGGCGCACAATCACCATCACCACAAAAGGACTGTGCTGTGCTCCAAGTTTGACTATGGATCTTTTTTTTTTCTGAGACGCTAGCTGTTGAAATGCCACGTTATTCAACCAGATGGGAGCCTCGGTTCATGTCGCTGCCTTCACATCTCTTTTATCAGATGCTACTGCAGGGAAACTGGAGAGATGTCAAGATAGCCGTATAAGTGGCAACGTCTGCTTAACATTTCTGTCTTTCATAAGACGTCGCGCTCGCTTTCTATAGGGCTGTCTCTAAGAGATGCAGAACTTTCAACACGTATGCACGTTTCAGATTCAGGTTAACTAAATTCCGTAGCACTGGAGATTTTACTGGTAATCCGTAAAGTGGTGTGCAAACTTGTGCACGCTCTCTGTTGTACTGGCGGATTTTGTCTCGCCCTCTTACAGTCGATGCTATATCCTTGAAAAGTAGCATGGCTTTGAAAACTCTGTCACCTGCGAGAGGATAAAGGAGTGTGATCCTTCATTCACTGTCGAAGGGAGGTGGATGACCGCACATGGATATAGAGATTTTAAGGTGGAGGTGGTGAGAGATGCTTAAGACTATTTTTTAACCTGGGTGCACTTGTGATGCAGCCTTGAGAAGGCTGGAGTTCGAGACACATAAGAGCAAACATCAGCACAAAAAGTGAAGGAGAAAAAGGGTGGCTCTGGCCAATTAAATTAATTAAGATTAAAACCAAACAAATCCCATTTGTCTTTTTTCTTTATAAGAAGGTCCCTCGTCAACCAGCAAGATTTCGTCCAAAAGCAGACAAGAGGATCGCCCTGCTCTGACGAGACTAGTCGGCAGGAAGCGGCTGATCGCTGCTGGGGCTCTGGGGGTCGTCATGGTACTGGTGTTGGTCATTCTGATACCGGTCTTGGTGAACTCTGCGGGGACTTCGGCGCACTACGAGATGCTTGGCACCTGTCGGATGGTGTGCGACCCATATGGCACTAAATCCCCAGCTAGCACAGCCACAGCGGAGACCGTACGCGACCACAGTCTGATCCAGTCTCTGCCCACCTTCATTCAGGGACCGAAGGGGGAGCCAGGACGTCCGGGAAAGGCTGGTCCCAGAGGTCCGCCAGGTGAACCGGGACCACCAGGTCCAATGGGTCCACCTGGAGAGAGAGGAGAGCCCGGACGTCCTGGACTACCCGGACCACCGGGTCCAAATACTGCTGCCGGTGCCATAAGTGCTGCGACTTACAGCACTGTCCCAAAAATAGCCTTCTACGCCGGGCTCAAAAAGCAGCACGAGGGCTATGAAGTACTGAAGTTCGACGATGTGGTCACCAACTTGGGCAACCATTACGACCCTACAACGGGGAAGTTCACCTGCTCTATACCAGGAATATACTTCTTCACCTATCATGTTCTGATGCGAGGAGGGGACGGGACTAGTATGTGGGCTGATCTATGCAAGAACAACCAGGTAAGATGATCTGGGGAGGGACGATGGAACGGTAGGTGCCTTGAAACCAAAACATTAAAACCTACTGTGACCGAAACAGTAATGGGAATGCAGATATAGAAAGGTATGGTTGTAAATAGCAGGATATATAGAGAGGTATACAGTAGATAGGGTATATTCCTCTAAAATATATTTAGCAGCCGATTCCCCCAAAACTGAGAAATATAGATGAAGTACTGTATATCCCCATGATGCATAGATATCTGACATCTGCTCAACTCATGGGAAAAAAAGTAAGGTTCGGGAAATTTAACACTGTATAGCCACTCAAATATTGTTTCATTTTTTATCTAATTCATACGGAAAAAACACTATGTCGCATCGATTTGCTACAATCAAAGTTAATAATCCATTGGTAGGACGTCTCTCAAGTAGTGGTCAAAGTTATTTTTCATTAATATATATTTTCTCCGGTTGTTGGAGGAAGAATTTCGAAGTATACCAATTGTCATTTGCGCCCAGTGTTCTAATTATCACAAAGTAATAACAAACTCGGAACTGTGTAGGATTATTAATTATTCAAATGTTTCTTACAGATCTTTACAACCATTTTGCAAAAAGAAGGAAAAGATTCTTAAATTAATTAATATGATTTGAAGTTAGAGGAATACTGAGGTCGCCGGTAAAAAAAGGAATAGTATTCTACTTGTGGTATGGCTTGGTTTACGGAAACTTAAAAACGCTAGATTTAATTTAAATAAATTGTTTAGTCCCGCTATATATGATGGAGGAGTTGACTGGCAATTTTAATAATAAATTAAAAATAATGGAAACTTAAGTCACACACGTTTTAAAAGGTTTCAACTTTAAATATTTTACATGTACTATGCATAAAATCGCCAGCTACTAACAGGCAATAACGTGATGTGTTGATTGAAATTCGATTATATAATTTTGTCACTAGAAACAGCAACAAAGTGCTCATTTCTCATTTTTAAAGTGCCAACATAAGTTTTGTGAAATGAGCGGAGATGGAGCAATACCAAAACAGAAAAAACTGGGTAATTCAGAATGTATCGGAACCTTATTCAATAATCCAGTAAAGTTAAGTAAAATGTGATTATCAATTAACTGGAGTTCACTGCATTATTAGGAGAATCAATAGTTTTACGACATAAGAATTTATCCTGATGCAAAAGAACAAAAAAATGTTCGCGTTACTGTTTCGCGGATCGCGGAGATGAAACCAATCTGCAATTTTATTTTATTTAATCTTGGTTTATAGTGAATGAGATAGACTCTAAACTCATTCAAGTTAGAGCAGTTTGTCACTTAGAACTTTGCTCGTGTGCGTTGCAAAATGTTGTCCTATGAAAAGCACAAGAATAAGTAGTTGTAGCTGGAGGTAAATCATTGTCAAGATTTAGAAAGTGAGCCCCAGGTGGGTGGGTGAGAAAACAGTGCCTTGAAAACATGTGTAATGAAGAAGTGTTTATGAATATTGAATTAACGAAGAAGAATAACTTATACTATGTTTCATTGTTTTATGTTTTTTCCTTAAATACACTAAAAATAACACAAACTACTTTTTATTCACACAACTTTTTGGTTTCATGTTTTTACCGAAACTCGTGTTAGCAACGAAGGACATTTAACAGGTGCTCAAATAAAGTGTCAAATCTTTCCTCAGTTGGACAAATATAAAATTGTAAATAATTTGGCTTTGAAAGAAAGGAGAAAAAAAAGTACGTGAAAAATCCATCACCGTTTTGTTTTTGTTTAGACAATAACTTTATTTAGACAATAATCTGTTGTCGCAACCTTTTTTGGAAAATTCTTCCAAATCAAATCCATAAATTGGAAGTTTTAACTCAGTAGTGCCTTATACAGTACTTTCATTGAAGACAAATCAACGTGGGTCTGAGTGCATGCGAATAATGTTCTTTCCAAATGTTTTTATTGTAGGTTTTTATCGCAGTAGGATTACGTTTTCATATATCAGGCTTTCGTGTCGTTGGAGTAGCAAAACCACACGTGTCGCCTGAATAATTTTTTGGCAAATGAATACATAATTAAAAAGCTTTAAAAGGGTTAACATTTTAAAGTTACTTACCTGTTTAATTTCTGTAATGAAAATTACCATTTGAGATCATACATTGAACAATAAATGGAAATACTGGTTCTGTAACGTGCCAACAAGATGCATTTTAAAAACGACTGCCGTCGCCGCTGAGCTGTATTTTTACCATTTATTTTTTAGAGAGACCGATACAGATCTAAAAATAAAACACAATATGAAAATATGAGGTTGCCGTTACTTTTTCTTTCATAGTTAAGAAATAGGCCTATGCCAACTGAAGAAGAAAGCACTTATGTTTAAGAAAGATGCTTGGACTGTGATAAAATTTAAAGTGGATTTGGACTACATGTTAACCTGCTAATATATAAAAAATAAGAATATCACATTTCCCTATTTTTTGCATAAGATGATTACAGAAGATCAGATTGCCTTGCTCTCATTTTCACTAGATCCTCTATGTTCACAGTGAAAGAATTCAGAACATATTTTAACCACTCAAGTATGTAGCATTTTTCTTCAGAACAGGTTAAGGTTATGAAAACCATTGCCATTGACTTCTGATCTAAATGTCGTGAAAAACTGTAGTCAATCATATTTCTGGGTGATTTCTTTCTAATGTGTGCAGGAAAACAACCATTCAACTGAAGATTGGCTATAATCTAACTTTAAAAATTCTCCAAATCAGATAGCAACAGTTGTTGTCAAAAGTGAGTTATTATATTATATTTTTCTTCTAATATTTATTTTAGCTTGAAAATAAAAATAGTTTAAAACTGAGCAATGAGAATAGGCCTTTCAATTGAAAACCTAAAATAGAAATAGAAAGCAACAAAGGTGTACACAGAAGAAAGATTTCTAGTTCATATTTCTTTTTGCATTAGTTCATGTGAGTATTAACACATATAATAAACTGGGATACAAAATGCTAGATAATATGATAAATAGAAACAACTGTAAAAGAGCAGTAATGGTACAGAAAGTGTGACTGGAAAGATCAACAGTACAGTGCAATCGCATTATTCAATGACTGTCATCTCTGTCTGAGAAATGCCCAATAAATTCAACAGTGCCTATTACATTAATTATTCTAGACATTAAAATGTCTGGGGTTGTCGATTAATTTATTCAGAGCCATTTCAGCTAATTGCAAATGACTGTTCAGTTAGTTCTAATGAGATGGAAATCCAAGTTATCACTGCCTCTTCTAGATGTAATTATCTGTGTTCTTCATAGAGTCTAGAGCACCAGAAAACAAGATTTCAACAGATGCAATTATAATTATTGTTGTAGATGATGATTTTAAAGGCTGTTTTTGGTGAACCTTTTAAGCTAGTATATGTTAAAGGCCCTTGATAGAAACGCTCGACAGCTAATTTTGAACACTATTGAATTTGGAAGCTCCAGAAATGTTCTGAGATGATTTGATAAAGAATATCAAATAAATGCTTTATGGGAAAATATTTAAACTCAGATAGTGCTACAGAGAAAATATACTGTAGAAATACACATAGCCTTAAATAGGATGAACACAATAGAGTTTGAGTATAGTCATGTGGACAGTTATACAGTATGTGTGTATTAGTCATGTAGGTTTCTGGAGAATACATTGTGGTGTTTTTTTCTGTGAAAAGGTGTGATAATGGCCTCTTTACTTGTTTATTTACCAATACAAAAAATACATTAGATATGATATTTTAGAGATTTATGATTGACTTAATGCATAACTAACCCAAAAATTATGTTTCGCAAGAGGAATAATAGTGTCAAACTATCACTACAACTTGAACATTAGTTATAACTAACATTATAACATTAGTAAGTTATAATCCTTAAATCAAGAGAAAAATGTTGTTATGATTATTGGATAATTAACTTAAAGACAATGGCTTAATTTTTAAATTATTTGATCGCAGTTGCACTTATAAGTTAGTTGCATATATATATAAACAACCTCTTAAAGAGAACACGTCCGAGTTGTGCAAGAAGATTTTGTTTTTATTTTCCCCTTGAGTTTTAAAAGTTCTTTTTGGTTAAAAAAAAAGAGTATTGCTTTTTTTTTAAAGATTAGAATAGTTTTGCTTTACTTGGTGCTGATGACTATCAAATTAATTGTCAGATACTGCAGAGTGATTAGAAATAGATGGCCAAGAAAATAATACTAAAAACAATTCTTAAGGTGAGTGAAGCATGGCTTTTGAAAATCATGTTGTTCTTTCATTTTAGGCAATTGTCACATCCTTTTGTGTCCACAATTGTTCCAAGTGAGAGGAAGTGTTTGAAAAAAATAAAACACACTTGTGTATTAACAGATGGTTTTGTCAACTGCAGGTTCGAGCAAGTGCTATTGCCCAGGATGCTGACCAGAACTATGACTATGCCAGCAACAGTGTCGTCCTGCATCTTGAGCCCGGTGATGAAGTCTATATTAAACTGGATGGAGGGAAGGCACATGGCGGAAATAACAACAAATACAGCACATTCTCTGGATTTATCATTTATGCTGATTAAAACATCCTGAAATAATAGATCTTTTTCCTTGGTTAAGTTTTATTCTTCCTGTCCGAGGGCTGGAGCCCTGCTAGCCTATTGTCAGTTCAAGTGAAGAAAAGTAGATTGGTGTTGGGAATCATTTAATGGAGGTCAGTGAGCAAGAAGAGAGCCAAAACTACCTGATTAACATCTGTACTCTCTAAAAGACTATCTGTAAAAAATGTGAGTTAAACAGATGTGCAAATCTTCTATCGCCAAAGCAGTTACTGTGCATATCTTGTTAATGTAATCTGAAGCATAAGTAAGTAAGACTTTTTATATAAAACAAAATCTAAGGTTGTACTTTTAATAGTAGTATATCCCTGTTGTTTGTGACATCTAATGGTTTCGGCCAGTGCACTGCATCTGATTCTTGTGTGTTGCCTGTTAATTTGGATGTTGAAAAAAACACTGGTAATGTGTGCCAGACAAAAGGATGGAAATTTCTACTGTAAATTACAGTAGGAGTGTAATACTTATTCTACACAGAATCGCAATGTCTATTTTAGGAGGTGCACAAATGAGAAAAAGTTAAACAGTACAAAATTTAAACAAATATAGGCTTTTCTGACAATAGGATGGCTTAAGTAAAGCGTACTATACATTTCCATACTATATTGCTTACTTAGTAAACTTAAAAAATGGCAAAATAACGAGCATCACACCTTTGCATATTTTAATTTTGTTTTAATTTATAACTGTAAATGCCAGCGCCAAGATCACAAGAACTGTGCACTCAAAGAAAATATCATTTTGGCTTAGTCGTCTAGATCTACCAAATATACACTTAATTAAATCTACTACATACTACTGATAAAACAGTTATTCTAAGACTGTGAATTGGGTTATTCTTGATGGAAGTTTCCCCACATTAAAGCAATGATAGTGCTATCATTATTATCATTATCATTAAAACTATCTAATGTTTTACAGACTGGGCAGAAATTCAGGCTGGTTTGGGTCAGATTTCAGTCTACATCTGAGACCAAAGTAATTAAGAAGTTTTCTCTGTCACAGAAATGCTTGATAGTATCTGACAAAGCAGTGAGCTAATTTTATTTTTATAAAATGTGCAATGCAAAAATGTGAGCTAATTTTCTCAATTTAAGCAAGAAGCAAGCTACAGTATTTATCTGAAATGTAAATAAAATGATAAAATGAATATATAAATGTTAAGTGTTTGAGATAATCATATTCTTTCTAAATGTTAGCTATAGGACAATTATGTGAACAGCACAGTTAGGGCTTGGAGCCAAACTAATTTGCGAAAGGTCACCTGTGTGCCACTGATGCAGGAAGAAAATAAAATTAATATTTATTTTTCTTAAAAAAGTACATTTCTGACCCCCAAAATTATTGTAAAGCAGCCAAAGTACCTAGTAATTAATGTATGTATATTCTAAATCTTACTTTATACTTCTTGCTAAAGTGGAGAATGTTATGAAAACCAAAATGAATACTCAAGAGTAGTACTATTACATTTAACAATAAAACTTAATTATTTACATTTACTGCCTTTTGGGATCTAGTTTTATTGCTTTAGCCTGTTTTTTTTTTGCTTTAGGACTGTTTCCTATGATGGTACAGATAGGTATTGACATAATGTGAGAGATTCTTCATATTGTTTAAAAATAAATCTAATGTTTTTAAAGGAATTTAAAACCAGTTTTCTGGGACTGTGATGTGTAAAATCTTTGAGAGACCTAGTGCTAAAACAAAACACCAAGAATAGTAGCATATCCTGCATGTATATTTTTTCATTTTGAGGGTACATATTTAAAAAATTTAATTCAGTAACCTTTTTTTCTTTACTTTGTGATATACTTCGGAAATAAAGCTGCACTTGAAATGTATCTCAGTATTTAACAATTTAATTTATGTTAAAATCAAACAGTGCCTTAATAAAGGCTGTTTATGAGAATTGGGATTTTATCTATTACTGGTCAGTAGTAGGGTTTGAAGTGTAGGTTTCTAAATAATACTAAAAGATTAACTGAAAAACACTAATTTAATAACAGATTGTTTTACTGATCTACAATAATGTGCTGTGTCAGTAATATGGCTAAGGGAATTTTGACAAATGTTTCCTTTCATATCAGTATATCACAAAGGACACCAAGTATTACCAGTCATCTACAACAATAATCTTTTTGTAACATTATATTGTACAATTTATTCATCCCTAAGGTATAGAGCATTGATGAAAGAGAAAAAAATGACATCTGCACATATTTAAATGTGGCTTGCTGTATTTTTTCTGCCCTATCAATTCACTAAAGAAAATGAAGACAGGCCTGTCATTAGGTATAATCCGCTCACACCTCTGTTTGCAGTACAGATGGCAGCCCAGCCTGCTAGCAGTTAAGATACCAAACAGTGCTGTGGTTTGGAGTGACCTCAGCTGAAGTGAGAACTGGCTCACTAGCTCCTTTACAGGCCGAACTTTCATATGGCTCTTCTCAGCCTTCTGTTGTTTAGTACCTAATCAAATACTTAACTGTATTAAAAGATTTAAAAAGAAGTAAAAGGTGTGACAAAAAGCATGAGCTAGAAATAACACTCCTTTTTTCATGGCTTACAAGATATCAAATTACTAAAAGGAGGAAAAGGATTTATCAATTAAAAAGTTACTCAGAATCAGATTACTTCAATTGTCTGCAATGCACTTTTTTCTTTAAATGTATGACTTCTACCTTCTAATTAGTCTAGATTACTATGTCTGTCCATTATATACTATAATGAAAATTAGTCTTATCTCCCTTTCAGGGAATGATAACTTGAGAGTGCTTTCTGGTAAAGGGAATTTATCTGGAATAGAGCAAACTCGAGATAAAAAGGGAAGATTTTAGTCCTTCTGTCTGATAGCCTCAAGCCCGATAACCCCAAGTTTAGAGGTCTGTTCTAATCCTCATGGGATGCTGTTGAACACAAGACCCAAAGGTTATATCTTACCATTGAAGAAGTGATCAGACCCCTGGCTTTCTGAACATTCCAGGGCGCAAGAACAAGCACATTAACTGCAGCAAATCTTCTCAATAATTCATTTAATATTCTACCTTTCCAGCATGAAGACTTTGCATTCCCAATGGAGAGCATTTACATGGCCTAATCAGTAAAAAATGTCATGCAGTGCTCTGTTTTTCATCTGAAAAGCTAAATTATCTTCACTCTTTTAATCAGAGCAACACACTTAATTTAAATCTGTAAGACTGTAAAGCACTGCATGGCTGGCCTGCCTGAAAATAATATCAGAGGAAAGCTAAACTATAGATTAGAAGCTTTTATATTGTGGTATTATAGGAAAAAAAGGCTAAATTAACCTCTTCCATTCTCATGTAGGGGTACCCTAACGTAACCTTCATGTGCGGTTTAACCCCATCAAGCCTGCACACTGCTCCCATCAATGGCACCAAAAAGACTATGTCCAAAAGAATCCTTCAAGTCACAAAATCATCACAACATCACAAGTAAGCTTAAAACACTTTGATGATGAAAATGGTTTTGTTATGTACAACTGAACTGTAATGTTTGATAATGTTTGTAATCACCCAAGAGAAACTGTCAACAAGATAAGAGTTGTATGGGTATTCCTTATTTTTCCTTATGCACATTCCTTAGCACATTTCACAGAATCCAACCACTTTGTACCTTACAACACTTTGACAGGCGGTATTGTACCGCTAACAGACAACTCTAGTGTAACCCTGCCAGCACTATCTACTCACTCCAACTCCAGAGTTCTGTTGCTCAACCTGCCATTTCTCTTCCTCACTGAAATCTGGACATCCTTCAATGACTCATTCTCTAACTGGTAATGTGATTCCATTAATTCTCCTTATTTATAGTAAACAATACCTAGCTATAGAGTGTTAACATTGCTGTTGCAATCCATTGTTCACTGTTACAGTTCTTATATTTATAATAGTGTGACAGGTGCTCACACAAGTTTGGCATCATACAAGTGATGCTCGGCATCCATCCATCCATCAATTTTCTAACTGCTTTACAACATGGAGCAGGGCGACCTCTTTGTGCCTCTCGGCACAAGGCAGGATACAGACCCTGGACAGGAAGCCCACATATAGACATGCACACGCTCACACCAAGGAATTTTCCTGAAGCCAATTAATCTGCTGTATCAGTTATGTCTTTTGACTGTGGAAGAAAACCAGAGGGCCCAGAGGAAACCCATATGAACATGGGGAGAACATACAAACTCCACACAGACAGCACACCAGGTCCAGAATTGAACCCATGGCCCCAGCATCAGTGCTAATGGGCAGCAATGCTAACCACTGCATCACCATGCCTCTATTATTGTGGTCACAATGCCACCATTATTACATTTGTCATAATTTAATAATTTTAATTTATTGTGCCTGTGAAACTTATCCTTTCACTCCGACTTATATATTGAAATAAAAATTATACTTAAATATTGTATAGTCCTCATATAGAGGAAGTGACGTCAGAGTGAGAACGACCGCGCATATTGCTACTGCTACTACTGAATTACAAACATTTCATAATATATCTATAATAAACTATATTTATATAACAACAAACACCGTTTCTATAAAATTTTACTTTCTCATTGTTGAATAACTACGCCGACTGCAGAGAGAAAGCCCTGCTTTCCGCATCCGGCTTAGGCATTCAGCGTCTCCCCGCAAGACAAACTCCGGCAAAACCAGACGACAAACCACCTGGCTTGGGCAGGATAAGGACAATCTCTGACAGTGTGTCTTACAAAGGGTGAGTCGTGATTATGTCTTCCACCGGGAGCACTCCTGTGTTTTGTGAGTTCTTCGGCATGTAGAGCGTAGACTGTTCCACCAACAATATAGATAATTTTTAATGCCAGAAATGTTAAGTTGTAGGGTTGGAGGACAAAATTCACATTTTGGAGGGATGCATTAAAACATGATTAGATATTAAGCAGATTGAAGAATGGATAGATTCAGCTCAGTCGGAGCACTCAGCCAATTCAGAACTGGCTGTAGTCCCTCCCAGCCCAGTTGTCTCCAGCTCTGCGCCGGTAGCAGCAGTAACCATGTGCGAGTTCTGTCACGGTCAGATGGGGGTCTAAGAGCTCATATACTAGACCCCCTGCACAACAGTCACCAATCTGACTCAGCTTGAGGTTCTCTGCTTTCGGCAGCATGTCTGTCAATGTGGATAAGGTGCTCATAATTGTCAACTCGATAATCAGGAATGTTAGAATTCCTAACCATCACAAAGCAGCGGTCTCTGTAATGCCTCCCTGGGGCCAGAGTTTCTGACATTGAGGCGAAACTAGACATTTTCCAGCAATAAAGTCTCCATATCTTGGTTGTTTATTCTGGAACTAGTGATATGAAGTACCAACAATCTGAGGTGTTAAAAAACAATTTCATTTCTATGTGCAAAAGAGCACAAAGAAAATGTCAGAATTTAATTGTATCTGGTCCCTTACCAATCCTATACAGAGGGGATGTACCAATAGTAGGCTATACTCACTAAATCGCTGGTTAGAGACTCGGTGTGCATCCTTTATTAATAATTGGAACATTTTTGGGGAACACCCTGGCTTTTATAAACGGGATGGTCTCCTGAGGGGTTCATTAATTCTATCCCAAAATAAAGCAGACAAATTGCTTGCTTGACTACTAAGAGTACCACCCAGGACTCAATCATGTGATCTTAAATCATGTGCTGTCTCTACTCCTACCTCTAGTTCACCTCCTGTACCGACCCAGGTTCTGTAAGCTGCTTCTTAGCAGAAAATACCCCAAAGATATTTACTCAACGGATGCGTTTGTTTTGTCATTCCATGCAGAAAATGCAAATGAGAAGGCAGAGAAGCAACTCTGTGAAGCTGCCCTCCCTACAAATAGCAGAAACAATTAAACCCACCTCAGCTGGACAAGCAAACATGTCCCGGGTCATTACGTTGCAGACTGCAAAAGACAAGATTTAAGCTGGGTAAAATATGACGACTTTAACAAAGGCACTCATATCTGTCTCTTCAGACATTAGGGTATGCCTGATTTTTTTTTGCATAAATAAATGATAAAAACAATGGTTTTGTGATACAGGAAGGTGCTAATCCTAACCTTCTTAATTACTGGCTCAAAAGACAGGTCAATCTTTAAATGGCCCTTGATTTGCATATACATTTAAAAAGGAAACAGAAAATTATTACTTCTTCAGATTTTAAAAAAGGACACACATACAAAGTATTAAGAAGTGCTACTTAAAGCCTCTTTGTAACAACATGCAGTTGCTAGCTAATGTTCGCTTTTTAAAACAACCCAGCAACTCTTCTGATTAGGTTAAATGTTAGTGAAAGAAGCTAAAACACACAAACCAGCACAAACGCAGCACTAACGAAGACTGGTTTGGTTCTCTTACGATGTTGTAGAGGCCTGGGCAAGGTCACCCCCCGAAAAAGAAGACGTTATATCTCGGGAACGAGACAAATCAGCACAAGCATCACACAAATGAATGAGGTGGGTTTCATTGTTTGTGCTGTTTGTAGGGAGGGCAACTTTACAGAGTCCAGAGAAGAAAACCTTTCCAATCTGAATTTCACTCATTTTAAACTAATTATGAAGCTATTAAAAGAAACAAAGAAAGATCATTTTTAATAGTATTAAAGCACTGTGCTGCCCATGTGTTTACCTTAAAAGAAAAGCACTAGTCTTATTAAATAAAATCTGTCAAACATTTATACTTGTTTATTTAAAATCTGTATAGCTAAAGTTAATCCCATTTATACAGAATACTAAGAAGGACATACAGTACATATCGGTAAGTGGCAACAGTGAAGCTACCAGACACTGCTCCTCGGGATACTGTATTTTTCATAAGTGGAAGAGATGAAACAAATTGCCACACTGCTGCCATGTTGTGTATCCTGAGGTGCATACACTATTCTCATTTCTTACAATTACTAAGACTGTGGTGACAATATTGGTATTGTGTAATGAGTGGTTTGTATGACACATACTCTTTGAAATAAAAAGCTGACAGTACTGATATCACAAATGCAGATGACTGACAAAAACAGACCAAATAAGTTTCACAAGGAAATTCACACTTCTGCTTTTAGCAGTGCAGAAGCACCATATTGAAATTTAACTATTCAGTTTAATTAAGTCTGACACTGCAACAGAATCACCTTATGTGCAGAAAAATGTCCTGTTCTTGTCATAAGACTTTCACATGTGACAATGTACAGAACAAAAAGTCTGACACCAGTAGAATGTACTGGCATTGGGCTAGTTTAGTCAGGCTAATGAAAACCACATTTTTTCTCTAAACATGTCTTCTGTAAACAGAATTTTTGTTAAAAAAGTAATTCTGTATTTGAATACTAAAGCTGATCTCACTAAAGGTTCACACAAAAAGTACAGAGAGATGAGCTTAATGGTAAGCCTGTATTAACTGCACATTCATACAC